TTGACGAAGTTCAATAAAGATAATTGTGGTCAACAAATTAATTTGCATTCTTCAGGACAGTATTTGCATACATTATCTGCATAGTTCAAGTTCTTACTGAAGTTTAATTTCGAATTTATGAAATTTTATTGAATTAGTGCTTTCGCTATGATGTATTGAGACTATGATTAAATTTTGCAAAATTTATAAAGTTGAAGAAAAGAAAAGTTTTGGAAGAAAATATTTTATTACGTGTCAAGAATTTGAGAGCATTTTTGAAACGAAACAAAAGTTCTGCGAAAAGCAGCAAAAGAATATTAAATCGTGTCTACATGAATTACAAACGTGTTCTAACATTAATACGGTAATGGAGGATGTTTTAATAAAATTTCACGAAATTTTAATTTCAAATATTCCTTAGTCTATTCCAATTTATATGATGAATGAGTGGCTGATGGAGTAATTGGTCCACCCTCTGCACCCCTCTCCCAAACCCTCCATCACCATTTACTAAATTAATAATTGCTATATAATTTATATTTTCCCTAAAATGCATTTCGTTTCGATATGTAAAATTTATTGATATTTTATAAATTAACAATTTCAAACCTTACAAGAATTGTTTTTTATTTTATGTTACAAGTTTGTACCATTTGGTTAAAACAAGAATTATTATTTTAAAGATGTTACATTTTTTTATTCAAAATTGCTACTCATTTCTTTGTTTTAAATTATTGTTCATTTTGTTTAGTTGAAATTGTTATTTAGCTTTCTTATTTAACAACATTATTAATTATTTTTCTTGTGCCAAATTATTGTTAATTTCTCTTATGACAAATTATTGTTAATTTTTCTTATGCCAAATTACTGTTAATTTTTCCTACTTAAGATTGTTATTCATTTTTCTTTATTTAAAAGAATAAATTTCTTCATTTAAAATTATTCATGTTTTAATAAATGTGAAGTAATATTTATAATACCTCGTAACATTTCAATAATTAATTAAAATGTATTTTTAACACATTTTCATATACTTTTCACAAAGAGTTATTCAACAAAATAGTTAACAGTTAACAAGTATTATTATTATTTCCTTACACAATTGTCACAAACAATCAAGAAATCTCTCCTGCATACAAAATTCAATCTTCACAATTAGCATATATCACCAGCGATTAATTTGTATAACCAGTTCATACATTTGTTTCATATCCCAAACCGATTTTATGGAATCAATTATTACGATTTCACAACTACCCCTCTATTATTCGTACGAAAATTAATTTTGTTAGCGCAGAATTCGAAACAAATGACGTTTCCATTCTGGGATCGATGAAAACGAACGAGCCGTTGAAATAAATTGCATATTGTTTCCTTCGTTCCTCTGAAATTTATATTTCAGGATATGAAAATGATGTCAAGAATAAAAGCGAATGAAATTCGATAATAGTTGAAAATTATATAGTTGTACGCAGTAAGTACATCGTTTCGTCGGTAATATTTTATCAGTCAATAAATCGTGATAAAAATTTTTAACGAACTCAGTTTCGATATTCATGCAGTCGTTTATTTAATTCATGAATACATATTAAAGCTGAGATGCAAATGCGTATGGTATATTCTCTGCGTGTTCATGCAATTCGTATAATATTTTCACATTATGTTTTCATATTATATTATTTAAATATTCAGATAATATTGTTATTTTTATGAAATATATAAATTCAAAGACTATTTACAGATATAGGCGTTATGATAGAATTTTGAAGATTGGAATGTTTGAAATATAATAAATTCCCAAATTCCCTAGGTCTTACATTACTAAATTTTTAAATTCCTTAGATTCCCTAGTCCTTGCATCTAAAATTTCAAAATTTCCTAGATTCAACTAAATTTCTAAATTCCCTAGGTTCAACATCATAAATTCCTAAATTCCTTAGTTCCTACACCTACAAATTCCTAAATTTCAAATACTTTAATCTTCAAATCTCCAAATCCCCAAATTCCCAAACTCCCAAACCCCCAAATCCCTCAATTTCCAAATTACAAAATTTGCAAGTCTTCAAAATCACTAAATCCCTAAATACCCAAATCTCCAAAAATCACCCAAAATTCGCAAATCCTTAAAAATTCCCAAATCTTCAAATCCCCCAACATCCTCAAAAATCCACAAATTCACAAAAATTCCTTAAATCTCTAAATCCCCAAATCCCCCAAAATACCTAAATCCCTAAATTCCCCAAAATCACTAAATCCCTAAATAGTCAAATCCCCAAAAATCCCCCAAAATCCGAAAATCCTCAAAAACTCCCAAATCTCCAAATCCCCCCACATCCCGAAAAATCCACAAATTCACAAAAATTCTCAAATCTCCAAATCTCCAAATCTCCAAATTCCCAAATCCCCCAAAATACCTAAATCCCTAAATTCCCCAAAATCACTAAATCCCTAAATAGTCAAATCCCCAAAAATCCCCCAAAATCCGAAAATCCTCAAAAACTCCCAAATCTCCAAATCCCCCCACATCCCGAAAAATCCACAAATTCACAAAAATTCCCAAATCTCCAAATCTCCAAATCTCCAAATCCCCAAATTCCCCAAAATACCTAAATCCCTCAATTCCCCAAAATCCCAAAATCCCTAAATTCCTAAACCCCCAAATCCCCTAATTTCCAAATTACAAAATTTGCAAGTCTCCAAAATCACTAAATCCCTAAATACCCAAATCTCCCCAAAAATCCGCAAATCCTTAAAAATCTCCAATTCCCCTAAAATACCTAAAGCCCTAAATTCCCCAAAATCCCCAAATCCCAAAATTCCTAAAAATCTCCAAAAATCCTCAAATTTCCAGCTCCCCAAATCTCCCTAATCTGCAACGTTTCCGATTACTCCAAAGTTTCCAAAAAGCAACTTGCACCAACTTCCATACGAATTCTATGAGTTGTAACGACAGTTACAGCAGTTGTTCGAAAGTTCCGCTTTTCGCAAAAGTACAGGTTTCGATTCACTGAACTAACGACTGTCGAAGTCTTTTAAGTACTCCTATCGCAGTAGAAATTCTGGTAAAGGCATTTTGAATACGTTCTCAAAGTTTGTCGTTCGGTTTTAATAGTTCCTCGACTTTTCTCCTCTGTTAGCATACCCAACCACGTGAATTTCGACGAAAAATTCTGCTGATGAATATTTGATACGTGTATAATTCTGATTTCATATTCTCGATCTCATGGGAGCACTGAGTTCGTTTAATTTTAATTTATTTTGTCATTTCATCATTTTTGCATTAATTTATATATTTAATGTTTGGTGATTGCTTGTGTATTTAGTATCGTCTCTCGTATAATTTTTCGGAGAATTATGCGAGAGAATTATGATATGGAAATTGGTGATTATTGGAGAAAATAAGTGGTGTTACTGTTTATTTTACTTGATCGTTTGTTGCATTTTTTTTAGAAATAATAAAAATTCAAAATGATGGAAAGTGGAACCTTATTGAAGTTGCATTCCTTAGAAAAAATTGAAGAAGTCCATGTGAAAAATAACAAGAAACGAAGATAATACAAAATGAAACTTTAGTGATGTTGCATTTTATGAAAAATTGAGAACATTCAGAGTCAATGTAATAAATAATAAAAACTGAACAGAACACAAAGTTGAACTTGAAGTTGCTTACTTAAAAACAATTGAAAGTTTTAAGTCCATGTGAAAAATAATATAAATTGAAAACAATAAAAAGTAGAACATTATTGCATTCTTTAAAATAATTAAAAATTTTCAAAGTCAATGTGAGAAATAACAAGAACTCAAAATAATAGAAAGTAGAACTTTATTGAGGTTATGAACCTTATTAAGGTTAAAAGATGCCAAGATAAAACAATAATATAAATAAGAAGCATGCCGGCTATATTATACAGATATTATCGTATAATCAATATTTTATCATTATCATTGTGTATGTACATATTAGTTGAATGGTGAAAGAAAATTGACGGCACTTGTGTCACACTGCTCTCATAGTGCAATGCTTCATGTTAGCGATTATTGATCTAGACTGAATATAAAACAGTATTATGAACAAAACGAAACGAACACATTCACATTAGTTTATTGAAAAATGCGATTTTTACCGTGTTGATTATCGATGCAGATTAAGCAGTGCATTACTTTACCTATTTCATTTTTAATACACATATATATGCTCATTTTTAGAGATTCACATATTTGTCACACCTATACATGTCCTATTTAAAAATTGTATATATATATGCTCCATTTGAAGAATTAAACATTGTTAATATTTAACTGAATATAAAATAATAATGTATATAATGTAATATAATATATATAATATAGTAACAACCTAACCTAACCTAACGTGACCAAATACTTCAAAAATGATAGGACCATCATATACAGCATCTCAAGCTAACTACAGAAATTGTACTGAAGAATGATTTTAACGATATAACCTAACCTGACCAGCTAGTTCAAAAGTGATAAAATCTAACTTGACCTAATAGTTCAATAGCTACTCATATACCTTACGTAGCATTTTAAATTAAAACATCAAAATGTTTCAAAGAGTCTTCTTAACTGTACAATCTAACCTAACCTAATAGTTCAAAAGTGACTCATATATCTTACACAGTATCTGGCACTAAAATTTAAAAATGTTCGAAAGAGTCTTCTTAACTATATAATCTAACTTAACCTAACAGTTCAAAACTAACCTAACCTAACCTAATAGTAACTAAAACTAACCTAATAGTTCAAAAATGACATAATCCACACCATCTTCAACCAAAAACCAAAAATACCTCAGAAGTCTTTTGAATTACATAATTAAATTTGAATCGAATTACATAACCTAACCAAATAATCCAAAATCAATACACCACAAAAAGAATAAAAAATATCCAAAAAAATAAAACAAAATCTGCATCGATATCCGGTAAAACTGCATCTACTTCTAAGTAACGAAACAAGAAACCTCAAGGCAAGAATTCCTTACAGTGCGTATATACCTGAGTGTAGGTCATCCAGCAACATGGCTCCACCTGGTTGGAATCCAGACCCCAGAAGTCCAGTTCCTCTTCGAACAGTGGTCCACAAACATCCGTCGGATAGTGAAGTTTCCCAGTGCGATAGTAATTGAGCACCTGGGCAAAGACCCCCGGATGTCTGTCGAAGAAGTATTCGTTCAGGATGGGGTCGTAGTTACCGAGGGCCTCGGTCAGCTTCGACAGCCTCGTCGCGGGGATCTTCTTCAGGGTCGCCTTGTACGTCTCATGCCGGATACCACCCACGTTCAGAACCACCCGGTTCTCCGAATCCATGTTTAGAACACTCATTTTGAGCGAGGCTCTGCTATCGCCGGTTCCGACTTAGAGAAACCCACGCGACCTGAGAAGTAGAGGAAGAAATTTTAGTTTTTTGAGGGGATTTTGTTTGTTGGGGGATGTAGGTAGGTAAGTTATTGAGTAGGTAGGTAATTTTGGGGGTTGAGTGTTGTATGGGGAGTTGAGGAGTGGGTGTGCAATTACAGAGTTTGAGAGATCAGGTATAATATGTGGAGTTGATGAGTAGATCTGTGATTGTAAATTTTGGGAAATCAAGTATAATATGTGGAGTTAATGAGTGGGTAATTATAGAGTTTAAGGGATCAAGTAAAATATGTGAAGTTTATGAGTAGATGTGTAATTGTAAATTTTAGGAGGTCAAGTATAATATGTGAAGTTCAAAATTTTTACCAATTTTCAAATTCCCCAATTCTCAAATTCCCTAATTCTCAAATACTCCAATTCTCAAATTTCCTAATTCTCAAATTCCCCAAGCTCTTAAATTCCCTAATTATCAAATTCCCCAATTCTCAAATTCCCGAATTTTCAAATTCCCCAATTCTCAAATTTCCTAATTTTCAAATCACCAAACTCTAATTTGCCAATTTTGAAATTCCCCAGTTCTCAAATTTTCCAAACTCTCAAATTCCCCAAATTCTCAAATGACCAAAAATCTCAAATTTCCCAATTTTGAAATTCCCCAATTCTCAAATTCCCCAAATTCTCAAATGACCAAAAATCTCAAATTTCCCAATTTTGAAATTCCCCAATTCTCAAATTCCCCAAATTCTCAAATGACAAAAAATATCAAATTTCCCAATTTTGAAATTCCCCAATTCTCAAATTCCCCAAATTCTCAAATGACCAACAATCTCAAATTTTCCAATTTTTAAATTTCCCAATTCTCAAATTCCCCAAATTCTCAAATTTCCCATTTCTGAAATTCCCCAGTTCCTAAATTCTCCAAATTCTCGAAATTCCCAAAATTCCCAAAATTCCCAAAATTCCTAAAATTCCTAAAATTCCCAAAATTTCAAAAATTCCCAAAATTCCCAAAATTCCTAAAATTCCTAAAAGTCCCAAAATTTCAAAAATTCCCAAAATTCCCAAAATTCCTAAAATTTCCAAGATTCCCAAAAATCCCAAAATCCTTAATTTTTGAAATTTCAAAATTCTCTCCTTACCCAAAAATTCATGCGACCCGCCTCTCACAATTTCCACACTAACAAATTTCCCGTCTGATGGAAACGCTACATATCAGAGAATGGACGTGACCTCAGCAACGTGAACTTTTTGTCAAATCGCTTGATTTATAGGGGTATCGGACCATCAATAACGCAGAATTTAATTTTCAGTCGCTTTGTCAAAAAATCTTCGCTCTTTTACCAGGAATGAAAGCTCGAGTTTTTTATTTGCGACGGAACTGCTCAATACTTTGGCCATGCTTATCGAGCGTGACACAATCGGCGCGAATTTACGATTCAATGCTCGAAAAGTGACGATTCCATTTTCTTGTATCCTTTTTTTCTCTTCTTTTTTTTCATCAGAGGACGCACACCGGTTTCTGACATAAATCTACCGAGACAAAAATTCATTTGGGTCACGTTACGAATCCGTCCTGAATTATTCAAACTGTAATTTTCGATATAACTGCGATATACAGGTCGAATCAAAAGTGAGTACACATATGTGTCATATGTTTTCTTTCATGTTACATGCGTTTTATTATTAATACAATATTTATTGTTAATTTTTTATGCAGAATGAAAGTTTATTATTTTTACGTGAATGGTATATTAAGATTTTTTTTATAGTTTTTTATATGATCTGATAAATAAAGAAGTTTCTCTGTGAACATTTTTCCATGTGAATTTTATAATAATTTTTAAGATGAACTTATTTTTGATAATTTGCAGAAAATGTTAACTAAATATTAAATGTTGATTGACATTTTGAGGTACATTTTTTTAATAACATTTTAAATATTCTATTCTAAATTTCCAAATTCCTACTTTTCTAAATTTTGGAAGTTTCCAAATTCTCAACTATACAAATACCTAAATCTCCAAAATCCCTACTTCCTAAATCCCCAAATCCCCAAATCACCAAATTACCAAATTTCCATGTTTTCGAATCCCCAAATTCCCAAATTCCCAAATTCCCAAATTTCCAAATTTCCAAATCCCCAAATCCCTAAGTTACCAAACCTTAAATCCCAAACCCAAAACCTCAAATCTCCAAATTTCTAATTTTCCATCTACCAAAACCCTAAATTTCCAAATTCTCAAACACTCAAATACCTAAAAGTCCCCAAATTCCCAAATCACCAAATTACCAAATTTCCATGTCTTCGAATCCCCAAATCCCCAAATTCCCAAATTCCCAAATTACCACATTTCCATGTCTTCGAATCCCCAAATCCCCAAATTCCCAAATTCCCAAATTCCCAAATTCCCAAATTCCCAAATTCCCAAATTCCCAAATTCCCAAATTCCCAAATTCCCAAATTCCCAAATTCCCAAATTCCCAAATTTCCAAATTCCCAAATCCCCAAATCCCCAAATTCCCAAATCCCCAAATCCCTAAGTTACCATACCTTAAATCCCAAATCCAAAACCTCAAATCTCCAAATTCCTAATTTTCCATCTAGCAAAACCCTAAATTTCCAAATTCTCAACCACTCAAATACCTAAAAGTCCCCAAATTCCCAAATCTCCAAATCTCTAAATCTCCAAATCCCCAAATCCCCAAATCCCCAAATTCCCAAATGCCCAAACCCTTAGCAATGCTTTAAAAAATGAAATAAACTTTGGTAAATAAAATGAAACGAAACAAAAAATGAAATAAACTTCCAAAGAACAACATGAAAATAAGATTGACATAATTTAAAATTGAAATAAATTTTAGTTTAATTATAAGTTCAATTTAAGTTATTTTTAATAGCCGGTTTCTGCAAAAGTTTTGAGCCCACTTGAATATTTTCTAATTATAGTCTACCGTGACTTCGCCATTGACGTTTGCATATTTAACAATTGCACTCAACTGGGACAACTAAAAATACATACTCTTTATTTCTCATCCACGTGAAACTTTTCATACTCGAATGCATATTACTTCGCTCGGTAATTTAGCACGAAAACGGGTTCAGGTTGGCCGATAGCCATGCAGGAGCTACATATTTCCACAATTTGTATAAAAACAAACTCTGAAGATGATTCGAGCCAATAAGCCGATAAGCTACTTACTCGTTGCTTGTTATTTACCTTGTTTTATTAAATTAGTTTCGCTTCGTCATACTTTTTTGTTTCTCTGTCGATTTAATATCTGATGTTGAATAACTTTACTTAATGAGGTAACGTTGTTACATTTATTTTGTTACATATTTTATATTATTTTATACATTATTACATTTACATTGTTATACACTTTATTTAATTTCATACATTGTTAGTTTATCTTATTTTGAAAAAAAGAAATAATATTTTGTAATAATAAATTATTTGAAATTAGTCGACAATTTTGTTTTACAAATAGAATTGAATAAATATGTAATTCCTCTTTGGGTGAAATTCAGATACATTATTTTTAAATAATTTTTAATTTGTGCTGCACTAAACTATATTTGATGTGTTACTTAATGTCATTTAATTAAAACAAACCATTTTTTGTACAAAAGTTTATATTAAAATTACTTGTTATATTATTTAGAAAAATTTGTTGCATTATTTTCAGAAATTTACAATTCTGGCATAGTGTGTGTTCATATAACATAGTTAAAAAATATTAAAAAAATTAAAAACAAAAATTAGTTATCTATTAAATTATTTTATTTCATATGTAAATTATGAAAAAGTTTAAAGAAAAATTATTTTAAACAATTAAGTTTAAATAAATTTAAAAGCAAAATTCTTTCAGATAATACATTAATAGCTTTCCAAATTATTCTACAAATTTGAATAATGCTTAATGTATTAATTTATTATATATTCAAAAAACAGTTGTATGTTTTGTAATTTGCAAATACTGAGGGATACAATAATACATTATATCGATGCTTTATTGATATTCAATTTTATACAGAATAAATTTGACGGTATTCTAAAAACGTGTATAATATCGATAATGCATGATAAGGAATGCAAATCCTTAAGGGTGTATCAAGGATGTTGAAATCTCTGCCGATAGCGAATTCCTGACAGAGATGTAATAATATGTGACAGGATCTATGGGGGGTTTCCATGAAACCGTATCAAAGGAGCTATTCAAGTGGTATTCCAGTTCCGTTCGACCGTGATTAATGTATCAACTGTCAACTGATCTCATCCATAATTTTTTGTCCATAATGCGTTTTCAGGGAAGTTGAGGAAAGTGTCAGAACTAACTAAAATCTTGTGACAGAGAAATATTGTTTTCAAATTTTTGCATTTTCTAATTTTGTAAATTTTGTATTTTTAGGTTTTTGAATTTTCAAATTTTGGATTTTTAGATTTTTGAAATTTCAAATTTTGGGTTTTTAGATTTTCGAATTTTCAAATTTTGGATTTTTAGATTTTCAATTTTTTAATTCTTGAATTTTGTAATTTTTCAATTTTGCAATTTTTCAAATGTTCAAATTCCCTATTTCTACATTCTCAAACTCAGATTTTCAAGTTTTCAAATTACCTAATTCCTATATTTCCAAATTTCCAATTTCCTACATTTCTAAATTTTGGAAGTTCCCAAATTCTCAACTACACAAATACCTAAATCCCCAAAATCCCTATCCCCCAAATCTCCAAATCCCCAAATTACCAAATTATCAAATTTTCAAATCTTCGACTCTTCAATTCCCCAAATCCCAGAATCCCCAAATTCCCAAATCCCCAAATTCCCAAATTCCCAAATTCCCAAATCCCCAAATTCCCAAATTCCCAAATTCCCAAATTCCCAAATTCCCAAATTACCAAATTATCAAATTTTCGAATCCTCAAATCCCCAAATCCCAAAATCCCCAAATCCCCAAATCTTCGAATCCTCAAATCCCCAAATCCCAAAATCCCCAAATCTTCGAATCCTCAAATCCCC